AAATACAAATATAAGATAGAAGCAGCATCTTCAATATACCTTGAAAGTATGTATACATCTAAACCTTATAAAAAATCATTGGATGAAAAATCCTCGCTTCTAAAACGTATTTCAGTGAAATGTAGTATCGTTCCTTTTTGGGAAAACTTAGCTTTCCTAAACTAGCTTTTCCAAATGAAACTTAAAAATAAAATTGGCCCCATACCTACACCTTTTCATGAATTAGTACACATTGTCAGAGTTTTGTACATTTTGTTCAAACTGATTTTCTTTTCTAGTTAAAAACTGTAGCATTTTAACTTTCTTAAAAGTATCCAAGTGTATGACTAGGTATTCCTACAGTTTAGCCAAATTAAATGCTATATGTGGCCCTTAATGAGAAGGACCCTGTTTACCTCACCAAGCCCCGTGTCTGCTGCACTTCCCATTCCTATAACATAGCACTCTCTGTAGTTCCATGACTGTCTTGCTCTCTTATGAAAAACAGTAAACTTGCAAACAAGTTTCCTTCCACTAGAATATTTCCCCCCTCTATTTAATGACATACCCATCCACCAAGTCTCACTCAAACAGTCTCCTCTGCAGAACCTTCCCCATTGACTCCCACCAGAGCTTTCATTCTGACAGGTTGTATTGACCCTTTGATATTACTCACTTGACATTTTGTTCACATAGCCGTTAAATTGGTTATATCTCTTTAAATTATTTTTTGTTATGTCCATCTGCAGGCAGAAGCTCTGATTTTCAGTTGATACCACCCTGACCCATAGTAGACAACTGTTCACATTTGTTAAATACTAGAACTCTTGTTCTCAATGGATTAAAAAAAAGACCCTTAGAAATAGTAAGATAAATTTGGCCTTATATACTTTAATTTGTAGAAGTGTTAATCTTACTCCACAACAGCAACAAAAATATCATTGTGGTAGAGCAACCAAAACCAAAGAGGAATCAGTACAAGATCAAAATTAGAAAAAAATCATAGTCTACAGCACTCCTCCAAAAACACCTTTTCCTCTAACAATGATGACATAGAATATCATGAAGTTAAGAAATGCTTCGAAAACTCCCCAGAGATTACGGACTTGAACTCAAACACAGAGCAATCAAGATTTTCCCTCCCTTTGCTTTCCCTGGACACCAAAAACATGGCACAAAACCAACTGTTAGCAGAAATTTTAAATAAAAGTAAATCTTGCAGAATTTGTCATCGATAAGACAACAAGTGTTCTTATCATTAAATCTGGTATGTCAGCCTTCAGTCCATTTAATGTTGGAAGTAATCAAGTCTGATACTTTGACTAGAGTGACATCTAACGAGGCACTAGCATGCCGCTGTAAGTGGGCACACCCCCCCAAAGTCAGCAGTGCACTTCAAATATTCATGTAAAGTACAAGCAGGAAAAGAAAATATCACACTGGCCTATAAAATAATGATAAATAAAATGCAGTTGAATACAATAAAATTAAAATGCAAAGTGTGTAGCACACTCAGCTATAAATAGAAATAGTTTCAATTAGAAACCCACTATCGAGAGAGCTCTCCTGGAAGTTAAGTGGGAATTATAGGAAGAACATTTTCCAAAAGCAGGCCATTCCTTTATGTAATTTACTTGTTTTCATTTTACAGTTGTCATACTTGTTCACCTAGAATGAAACACTGTTCTGCTCTTCTTACAGTAATCAAAACAAAAAAAAAAGCTAAAGAAAGAAAATGTGTTCTCCAGTAGGTAAGATTTTAATTATTTTGAGGAGAAACAAGTACTGAATTTCAGTGACCTCTAATCAGTGAGCAGGATAAATTTATAACTTCATATAAAATAAAAAGCATATTTAAAATTATTGCTCTGATTTGTGGGACAAGGACTTTATAGTTCATACATATGCATATATTTTAATAATATTTTGAGATGTCAAAAATAGGTCTTGGTGCCTTTCATTACTTGAAAAAATAAAACTTTTGATCATGTTTTAGATTGATTTTTGAAATATCTTACTGAAAATTTTCTAATGACAAAGTATTTTTCACTGTAATGAATACTATATATTTGATATGTCTTAAGATCTTAAGAGAAAAAACATATAACATGTCTTGAGTGTATCTTTTAACTATAATTCAATTAAGATTCCATTGCAATTACTACTGCTACCACAGAAATAGTGCCACAGGATGACACATAGGAACAGGGTTTTTATAGCACAATTCACTTCCATAAAAAATTCAACCGAAGAATGACTTACAGTGTCATGTACTGGTGAGGTACTAAAATGAAAAGAAAAAACAATGCATTCATCCAAAAGGGCATTTACGAGTCAAAGTGAAACAAAAGACCACTGGCTAGAGATAGCATAAAACTCATTCTGTGATCAGATTAACGAAAAATGATAACAGCAGATAGAGTAGAAGAAATCAATGGAATTATAGAAAATTGTTATTGTTGCTATAACTAGTAAGAAAAACCATGTCAAAAAAGAAAAGTATTTAGAAAAATAAAGACAAAAATATTATATGTCACAGATGACAAAATTGGGGCTTGTGTGTTAATGCCTGTCAGCACCCTGACAGATCTGACTAATCAATCACTGGAGTCTGTTGCAAATCTCGGAATGCCTTTCAGTATACAACACAGAGAGCCACAATGAATCACTGAACGTTGGCACTGAAATCTATTTGTCCAATCTGGTCTCAGTGACGTTGTTCAAGATGTTCAGTTATGAACCTTCCGTGCAGGCAAATGGTATGTGACTATATACAACCTGCTAGGAAATGTGGTCAAGCATGGGTTTACTTTAAAAAAATTGGTGAATGCATGAAAATTCCTAAAAAGCAAAATGGGAAAATAACATTACAGCAGATAATGCTATGATGTGGTGAGTGGAATAAAATTTTAAAAACTAACTGCCATCATTCTGACCTGTGTGGCTTGGATGGGAGTTGTCCTACAAAGCTAAAGGTTGCTAGTCAGGGCACACACCTGGGTTGTATGTTCAGTCCCTGGTCAGGGCACATGCAAGAAGCCACTGATCAATGTTTCTCTCCCTCCCTCTCTTCCACCCTTGTCCTATCTCTAAAAATAAATGAATAAAATCTTAAAAAAACCCTAACTGCCATCTACAACTTAGAATGGATTGAATTCTGATGAGACAGATATTTTAAAAAGATACAGTCCTCCATTTGCAAGAAAAGCAATTGAATGTGCATTATGACTTAAAAGCCATAGGTCTAATGGTCTGAGAAAAAATGAATAACTAGAGTAGAGAATCTGATACCCAAAGTAGCTTTTACACCTGAGCAATCAAAATTATAGATTTCCCTTAAAAGGCAAAACCATTTATTGATACTTTTAACAAAAAGCATTTTCATCTAATAAATAATGCAATTTTTGTCATAAATCAAATGCTTTTTAAGTCTTTTTTAAATAATTTTTTAATTAATACTCAAACACAGTTGTCTCCCTTTTCCCACCACTATTTTCCCCCACCCCACTCACCCCCACCTCCCACCCTCCATCCTACCCTGTTTGTCTTTGTCCGTGGGTCCTTTATACATGTTCCTTGATGACTCTTCCCCTTCTTTTCCCCCATTATCCCCTCCCCCTCCCCTCTGGTCACTGTTTGTTCTTAATTTCAATGTCTCTGGTTCTATTTTGCTTGCTTGTTTTGTTAATTAAGTTCCATTTACAGGTGAGATCACACAGAATAGACATTTTTAAAGACTTAAAAAAATGATCTCTATAGAAACTAAAACATAGATACAATGACAGGGGCTTAGTTTTAGGTGTCTTAATTTCCAAAAAAATAGTTTCCCTATTGAAATATTTTAAAGTATATATGTAATCACCGAACCATATTTGAAACACAAGCCATAATTTTAGTGTTAGGATAAAAGGGATCACTAAGCAAAATGTGTGTGGAGAAAGGATTAAGTAAAAAATGTCCATTAAAATAAAATAAATGTGTATATCAGGCGATGGTAACTGTATTCTGCTGTAATTACACATACTATATAATATTATTCTGCTGTAATTACACATACTATATAATATTAAGTCTAAGGCTGAATAATAAAACACATTAGAGAAAATACATCTCAATCACTAAATAAGCTTAGATAAAGTCTACAATAGGTCAATCTGACAACAAACCCTGCTCCACACTATTAAACAGTATCATGTGCTGTTTCCAACAAACAAAAGCTTAATCACTCACTCACTTCACTGTGCTAATGCAGACAGCCATATTTAAGGCTGGCATGAATTCTGCAAGAGATCTTAACTGGCACTAACATTCAGCAATAAAGAACATTTCCAGCCACAAGCATTACATATAAACATAATCTGTAAAACACTGAGAACAAGTCACTGGTTGTAATGTAATTAGAAAAAGTTTTCTAAAATTTCTTTTGAAATAACTATTACCCTAAAATGTTTTACCCTTGGTCACATTCACTGTCATGAATTGTTTTACTATTATGCTTTTCTGTGATTTTATAAGTAATTTCTTTGAAAAATGCAAATAAGGAACACATGAAACAGTCTGACTTGGCTATAAGACAGTAGCAGCTTATATGACTAACTTGTGATAGACCTTACCACTATGTTACTGATGATTACAACAAAGCAAGTTTTAATGAGTAGGTAAGTCATTGCCTAATTAGCCACGTTACCTGTGCTAACCTTAGGTAAGATAGAAAACAAGTGTTTCTGTAAACTATACAGGGTGGGGCAAAAGTAGGTTTGCAATTGTGAGTATACAAAACAAAGAGTTTATTCTTGTATTATTATTTATTAATTAAGGTATTTTTTCCATATGGACTCTAAATTTACTTTTGTCCACCCCTGTATAAATAACTATCAAATAATGCTTTCACACACAATATAAAAACCAAGATGAAAATACACGTCTTGTGACAGAAATGTATTGCTGTACTATAGCAAACATATCATTTTCCTGAATTCTAGTAATAGAATGGGAAAATGTTTTTAAAATGTTCTCCTTACCTGTGTATACAGTTTTTACTCTCAAGATATGACATACCGGAGGCAGCATCTAATGCAAATTTCACCAATTGTTTGGTTTTTATTTCATCTTTCTTTCTTCTTAGATAGGAAAGGAAATCACCTCCTAGAAGAATTGACAGATGAACAATGAGACAAAATCATAATGAAAGTCACATTTATTGTCTATTATGGATATGTCACAGAACAAAAAGCACTCCATGCTTGGCCATCCTTTTTGTCCATTTTGTTTGAGGTGAGGATAAAAGAACACATGAGAAGAACACGTCTTATTACAAAACAGACACCATTAATTTTCCTGGGTACAGTGTAAGTACTTTAAGTACTTCATACCCTATTAGCTAACACATGAAATATTCAAACAAAGTCATACAATTTCTCACCAATTTGCCTGACTAAAATTTTGTAACAAAATTTGTCTCTAATACCAAATTAAAGACTGTAATTACTATGAGGTAAATAAAAAATGATATTGAATAAGTTATCAGATTCAGTAATTGCTAAAAAAGAAAGAAATTATTAACAATACCATCACTGACAGGAGAGCCAGAAAGAGGGGGGAGCTATGATTTTGCCAAGATTTTAGGTGCTGATCCAGATTGCACTTGTGTATAAAATGGATTCCAGAGATGCAGAGAAACACCTTAAACCAGCATGGCCCAAAAGAAATGTAATACAAGTCACATAGTAATTTAAATTTACTGATAGTCACATTTTAAAAAGTAACAAAAAAAGGTGAAATTTGTTTTAATAATATACTTTTTCTTTAGCCAATGGATCCAAAATGTTATTTATCAACATATATCATAAAAATTAGAGTGGAGCTATTTTACCTTCTATCATCCTAAGTCTTTATAATATGTTTAACACTTATAGGGCATCTTAATTTTTATGTAATTTTTATCTGAAATATTTGATCTGTATTTAGATTTCATAAAATTTAATTCATATACATACATATTTAGAGTCATATATATATACACACACACATTGTTCCAAATGCTTACTATTTCCTAATAATTGGATCATGTATAAATTCTTAAAACATTTAAAATTAAATACAATTCAAAATTCAGGTTTTTAAGATGTACTATCCACATTTCAAAGCTCAGGAGTTCCACATGGCCAGCGATTACCACGTTACACAGCATAGCCTTAACCTGTGCATTCATTGTTCACGCAGCATTGAAGGCTATGGTTTATTTTTTCTTGTTAGTGTATAATGTACTGCACTAAAAAAAGTTTATTCTAAGTGAAATAAGTCAGACAGAAACAGTTGAGAGCCACATGATGTCATTCCCTTGTAGGATATAAAACTGAAATTTAAAAACGAACAAGAAAAACAAGCACAGGTTCACCAACACAGATGACAGTACTGTGGTTACCGGCGGGAAGAGGCTGGGTGGGAGGAGTAGAGGGTAAAGTGGCTGGACGTACAATGACAGAAGGTTTGACTCTGGGTCAAACACAAGGCAATATATACATGGCAATATATACATGATTACTACAGAATCGTACACATGAAACAATTGCATTAACCAATGTCACCCCGATTACTTTAACTTAAAAAGTTAGAATAATTTAAAAAGTGTATTAGAATAAAGTTTATCTAAAAATAATCATTCTCACTTTCTCTTTTATATTAGGCCTTCAGATTTCAAGTCAGATTTTTGCAAGAGAAATTAGCATTTTAATTGTCATTTCGTAAACTTTTTTTACTCTCTTCACCATGGCTGTAGGCTTCCTAAAATGGAACAACTCTAGAGGTACAGACTTAATGGCTTTTTCTTTAATGAGACTACTTAGAAAATGAGAACCAACCAAATTCTCTTGTAATATTCTTTTTATTTACAAATCAAGCATTACACAATTTTACATGGGCCCCTTACAAAATCAATAAGCCTTATGCTTAAAAATAATTTTAACAGTGTCGCACAGTTTATTTTATTTTTTTTTTTAAGGAGAATATCAAATATATCAAATTACTAGGAAGATTACTGAAACAGTTTCTATCAGGCTTAATTTTACTTTCCGAACCAAATACATAGATGCAACAGTAAACCACAAACTTAACCACTAATTTCTCAAATGGGTAACAAAAATGTCTATTAAAATGGACTTAAAATCAATATTCAGTTCAACTTATTACTTGGACCAATATCCCTATATGTGTATTAATGCTTTTGTTAGATCACAGGTGGCAAACACAAGGCCCACAGGCTGAATGCGGCCTAGCACCTTGTTTCTACCTGGCAGTAGCATGAAGCTCTTTGTCCCTAGTTAAGGAGTATCCATATTTTTCAGACCATAAGATGCACCTAGGTTTTAAAGGAAAAAAATAGGAAAAAAAATTTGAAGCAAAAAATGTGGTAAAATAGTTAATAACATAAATAACATAATATTTCACCAATATAAATGTAAACAGAACTCAACAGCAGCATTAACAACCATTATTCCTCCCAAATTGGGGGGGAGGGGAGTGGTAAAAGTGAGTCTTATATTCTAAAAAATATGGTAGTTACATTTACAGTCCTAAAATTATATTCAGCCCTTTGAAGGCAACTGTGAGGATGATGTGCCCCCCCCACCCGCTGCCCCTTGACAAGGAGTTTGACACCCCTGTATTAGATATATGTTGGCCTATTTTAGAAAATAGTGCACCCTTCTGGTCTTGAAACCACATAGCATTTTGTTCATGCTGTGGAATAACTTTCAAGTGAAAACATCTTTACTGGAATTTGATTTAAAGCAGCAGGACATCCCCCATATTCTGTCAATTCCTAATATTATTTCTTTCCCAAGTTGGCTCATATTCAGCAGTTTTCCACCTGCCTCCTGCTCTTTTTAAATTTACTCCTTCCTACAGTCCTCCTTGCACTCCCACCCCTGCCCCAGACTAGCCCCTGTGAAGGGAATTGTGCCTCTGTTGTTCAGTATAGTAATTTCAGCACTTGCCATGCGATTAAGAATTCCAATTCCAATTAAGAATCTTGGTGTCCAAAAAGCATAGAACATGATCACTTCCTTTTTGTAACTCTGTATTAACAAGGCTTTTTTCTGTATGAGTAGACAATATATTAAACCAAGAGAGGATGGATCATTTCCTAGCATTCTTCACCAGTGATGAATTTCTAAGATAACTCTTGATATGTTTTTATGGCCTACTTTGGTTTACTAGAGCGAGCATGGCACAGTGAAAAAGAGCATGGATACTGAAATCAGACTGACTTAGTCTGATTAGTTATATGGACGTAAGTTGTTTCACCTTTCTGAACTTCAAGACAAAAATTAATTCCATTTATTTCTCAAGATGGCTTTGAAGATTCACTGTATCTAAAGAACTAATCATGTGCTGAGCACATAATACACACAGTAAATACTACTACAACTTGTTGAAGTTAATTGCTATACAAAATGAGGAAGAGCTGCAGTAGGGACTGGGCATTTGCCATACATTTATTTTCCCTCATTCACCTCAATTTCTTTTAGGAGACCAGCCTTCTCCCATTTTGGAGAGTATTAACCCCACCCCCAACAATAAGGGTGGTCCTGGATTGACCTAATCAATGACGTCCACTCCCCTGTGCAAGTGACTGCTTCAAGGACAGGCACACAACTTAACTCAGGTCACTGAGAGACTACAAGGAGATACTTAAGAAGTGAAAGAAATTGTTATTTTTTTGAGAGAAGTACCAAGAAATAAGCATGCTCTGCAACTGAAATTGTGTAAGACAGCATGCCATACCCCAAAGACTGGCAGCCTTCAAATGAAACTATTGCCAAGGAAAGCAGAAAGGAGTGAAGGAAAGAGAATAGTTTTTGGTGACATGGTGGAGCCACTGGATCAAACAATGCCTCAAGAGTAACTTCCCTCTAAATTTTTCAATTATGTGAATTAATGAAATCTCTATAATTCTTTATATATCTTTTGTACTAGCAACTCAAAGGTCCCTAATGGATAAAATAATATTCATATCAGAAGATCATTAGGAAAATTAAAAAAGATAATATCTGGAACAAGTAAAAAACAAGTAAAAGGATAGAAGCTATTACTCTCAATAGCCCTCGAAGATTCCTTGAAGATTTCCTGTTTCTTAATACAGAGTTACAAAAAGGAAGTGATCATGTTCTATGCTTTTTGGACACCAAGATTATTTCTCCATGCTCTGGAAATTTGGTCTTTCCTGTTGTTCACTATTGATGGGACTCTGAGAAACTAATCTCATTAAACAAACTTGGTGAAATTATGTAAACAAGAATATTAATTTATCAATTCGTCACTGAAGAAAAGAGATCATCAGGATAGGACCACTAATGATTTCCTGTCATTAAATCACATAGAAATCTTAATTTATCTTCAAACAACTTCCAAGTTTATTAAGCAGATACCAGTCCCCCATGATATATAAAAGTATAATTCATGTCCCATGTATTTCAGGATATAAATTTGTTCCCGAGAAATTTGGTTTATTTGTGTTCATTTATACATTTAAAATAGGATTGTAACCAAAGCAAGTGATAAATTTGTAGCGAGCTATTTGGGGGCTTCATTTATGCCATTACTCAGGTTCTTCTCTAAAAAATAAACATTTGCTCTTGCACTTGTACTAATGAGAGTTGTGGCTGTTAGCCCATCAAAAACAGAGACAAACTCTATAAAATCATGAACAGTGGAAGCCAATTCAATTTGTACTCCATGAAACAAAATAGACTTTATATAATAGGAGATAAGTCAAAACCATTCTTGAAGAAGAATCAATGCAAATACTTAGGAGAGATGGAGTGCACAGAAGAAGAGATTAACCAAGATGTCTAATGAGGTGATGAGGGGTTATACTAAGAACTAGCCAAAGAAAGTCCAAAGATAAGACTTGAAAAGACTTGATAGGAAGCTAAAAATGGATCAGTTTGTGGGGAAAGATGAGGAAGCTGAAACACTAAAAAACTGAAAATGACTTCAACAATGTACAAGCTTTCCTGATTCCATTTTCTTCTTTAAAAAGAAGCACTTACTGAAACAGCTTGCTACCTATGTAGTGAAATTCAGCCAGGCCAGATGCAGAGCTGAGTGTGTGGGTTAATACATGACATTAGTCTTTTCAGAAG